AAATAATCATAAATGTCTTGATCTTAAATATGACTTGAATTTTAATATTCAATTAATATATAATACAATAATCTGTAATATGATTAGTTAAAAATAAATATTACGTACATAGTACGATAGTACATTCCCTTCGATGGCTCGACTTGAACTGAGACTTGAAATAATAATTTCACTTTATTTAAAATTATTAAATGTTGACGTAATATTAATGTTGACGCAATTATTAAAATCACACAAATATCAAATAAAAAATAAATATTAATAATTAATTATTAATATATTTAAAATAATTATATTTAATTAAGAAATAAATTTGACTTACATGTTGTCCCTTCGATGGCTCGACTTGAACTGAGACTTGAAATAATAATTTCACTATTTAAAATTATTAAATGACGTAATATTAATGTTGACGCAATATTAATGTTAACGTAATTATAAATGTTGACGCAATTATTAATGTTGACGCAATTATTAAAATCACACAAATATCAAATAAAAAATAAATAATTAATTATTAATATATTTAAAATAATTATATTTAATTAAGAAATAAATTTTACTTACATGTTGCCCCTTCGATGGCTCGACTTGAATTGAGACTTGAAATAATAATTTCACTATTTAAAATTATTAAATGACGTAATATTAATGTTGACGCAATATTAATGTTAACGCAATTATTAATGTTGACGCAATTATAAATGTTGACGCAATTATTAATGTTGACGCAATTATTAAAATCACAAATATCAAATAAAAAATAAATATTAATAATTAATTATTAATATATTTAAAATAATTATATTTAATTAAGAAATAAATTTGACTTACATGTTGTCCCTTCGATGGCTCGACTTGAACTGAGACTTGAAATAATAATTTCACTTTTTTAAAATTATTAAATGTTGACGTAATATTAATGTTGACGCAATTATTAATGTTAACGTAATATTAATGTTAACGCAATTATTAATGTTGACGCAATTATTAATGTTAACGTAATTATTAATGTTGACGCAATTATTAATGTTAACGCAATTATTAAATGTTGACGTAATATTAATGTTGACGCAATATTAATGTTAACGCAATTATTAATGTTGATTGTATGTATTGTAAGTATTGTAAGTATTGTAAGTATTGTAAGTACTGTAAGCATTGTATGTATTGTATGTATTGTATGTATTGTATGTATTGTATGTATTGTATGTATATATATTACCATTTATTACTATGTATTATAGTACTATATGTTACTATATATTACTATATATTACTATATATTACTATATATTACTATATATTACTATATATTACTATATATTACTATATATTACTATATATTACTATATATTACTATATATTACTATATATTACTATATATTACTATATATTACTATATATTACTATATATTACTATATATTACTATATATTACTATATATTACTATATATTACTATATATTACTATATATTACTATATATTACTATATATTACTATGTATTACTATATATTACTATATAAAAGTGCAGTATTTTTGTTTAAATTTAAATTTGTATTCTATAGTAGTAAATAATATACTATTTTTTTAATTTAATAAATTTTGTATATTAGCAGCCATTTTTATGTATATATAAAATAAAATTTTATATAGAATCATAATATTTTTAATTTTTAAGATTATCTAAGCTTATTAAATCTGATAACATAATTTTTTGTACTTTGGCCGCCATTTTCTCTATGTTCCTGAAGAGATATCAAAATTTCAATGCTGATCCCCTATACCTTATTTTTGATGGAGAATCTAAATCTGAAATCAAAATTTTAAAATTCGCACTTTGAAAACCAACACACAGACACACAGACACACAGACACACACACACACACACAAACATATAGAATCCATAAAACAAACCTTTTAAAGTTTGTTTGAAAATGCATTTAATAGTAACTAATATGTAAACAGAGTAATAAAAATAACAAAAATAAAAAGTTTATGGGATTTATTGAATGTAATAAATCATTTATTGAATATTAAATATATATATATAACTATAATATCAAACATTTTTTTGCTTATAGTTAACAAAAAACTAATATTTCTACAAACAATACAATAAATATAACACACTTAATAAATATAAAAAAAATAATTTTATTTATTTATTTTTTGTTGATTTTTAATTTTATTTTTGTTGCTAATTTACTTCCAATTTATTACAATAATATTTACATTATATATATATAAATTTATATCTATATCTACGGTAAAATTTATAATTAAATTTTTTGTTTTTTCAATAACTTTAAAAACATTGCAATGTATTATCAACAACAAAAAAGTAAAAACAATTTTTTAATATTATTATAAATTTGATAAAAAACAGATATATATATTTTTTTGTCTTATTTGACATTCAATAAAATTATATAACAACAAGTTTTAATGTCATACTATAGTATAGATAAGCTATAAGTTTAAAACAAAATAGTTTTTAAAAAATTTTTGACAAACAAAGATTAGGAAATTACTTTAATATTTAAAAAAAATTATTTAATCTAAATAAAAATATTTATTTAAGTATTTATTTTCATTAACAATTTTATGATTTTTTAAAATTGTTATTATTATTATAGAGTAATAGTATTTTTAATTAACTAATAAAAAATAAATAACTTTTTTTTAATTATTCTTGAATTAATAATTTTTTAAAAATAAAAATAATACATAATATTGTGATATACCACGTGGATTAGGTCAAGATTAAGGCGGTGAGAGAGCTAATCTTGTTTTGGCCGATGTCGGCTCCTAATGATTATCACAGGTACTCTTAGATTTTATTAAATACTATAAATATAACGGGAATGTTATATAAAAAATAGTATAAGTTTAGGTTCCATAAAGATATATCAATTATAGGTTCAGTTTGAGTTAAACTGCATTTAGAATAATGGGTGTAGAGGTAAAATAGGGCTTAACTATTAAATATACGAAACTAGATGTATAGCCAATTAGGTATAATCACGTCATATTGAAAAGTCAGTAATAGAAAAATAAGTCGACAGCGCATACATGCGCGATCGCTATGTTTTCACTGTGAAGAGAGTTAGTGTTTTACTAACTCTCAGAGAGTTCTCATCAAGTCTTCGGAGTGAATAGACGTGAAGTGTTATACTCTAGTTGTATTTTATACTTGAAACACATAAATAAAGGGATTTAACACAACTAAAGAGTAAGTGTTTCGAGGGGCTCGGGCCTTTGGCCCTGAGTCCCTTAAGAAAGTGTAAGCTAGCGAAGTAATTTAAAGGTTAATTAAGTAAGTATGATTATCAGAGTTAATAATGTAAGTATTAGTGTTAATAATAAAGTCATCGTCAAACGGAAACAGGACCGGACTACATCAGCAACTCAGCACGGATTCAACCATAAGTAAGTTTTAGTTTAAGGTATGCCAATCTGCGGGAGCGTAGATTCGGCATGTATTATGTCTGCCTATGGGAGCATAGGTAGGACATGTAGAGTATGCCGACCTGCAGGAGTGCAGATCAGGCTTTGATCCGAGGTTTGCCTCGGATCATGGTATAGTTTCAGACTGAAATAGTCAGTCTTAGGTTTAGTTGATAACAGTAATGTTATCTACAGGTTTGTCTCTCGGTGGAAACACCGATTGAGACATAGTTTCAGACTGAAATAGTCAGTCTTAGGTATAATAGATAACATAAATGTTATCTAAGGTTTGTCTCTCGGTGGAAACACCGATTGAGACATAGTTTCAGACTGAAATAGTCAGTCTTAGGTATAATAGATAACATAAATGTTATCTAAGGTTTGTCTCTCGGTGGAAACACCGATTGAGACATAGTTTCAGACTGAAATAGTCAGTCTTAGGTATATTAGATAACATAAATGTTATCCAAAGGTTTGTCTCTCGGTGGAAACACCGATCGAGACATAGATTTAGTAGGTAACAGTAATGTTACCTTAAGGTTTGTCTCTCGGTGGAAACACCTATCGAGACATAGATTTAGTAGGTAACAGAAATGTTACCTTAAGGTTTGTCTCTCGGTGGAAACACCGATCGAGACATAGATTTAGTAGGTAACAGTAATGTTACCTTAAGGTTTGTCTCTCGGTGGAAACACCGATCGAGACATAGATTTAGTAGGTAACAGAAATGTTACCTTAAGGTTTGTCTCTCGGTGGAAACACCGATCGAGACATAGATTTAGTAGGTAACAGTAATGTTACCTTAAGGTTTGTCTCTCGGTGGAAACACCGATCGAGACATAGATTTAGTAGGTAACAGAAATGTTACCTTAAGGTTTGTCTCTCGGTGGAAACACCGATCGAGACATAGATTTAGTAGGTAACAGTAATGTTACCTTAAGGTTTGTCTCTCGGTGGAAACACCGATCGAGACATAGATTTAGTAGGTAACAGAAATGTTACCTTAAGGTTTGTCTCTCGGTGGAAACACCGATCGAGACATAGATTTAGTAGGTAACAGTAATGTTACCTTCAGGGTTGTCTCTCGGTGGAAACACCGATCGAGACATATTTGCAGACTGTAATAGTCGAATAATGGGTTTAGATCTATGAAAACATAGATCTAAGTAGTAGTTCTGACTGAAGAGTCGGACACAGGTTAAGTATAATAGAGTAAAAATTGGTAAGTATAAAAAGGTGTAAGTAGTGTAAACGCGTGAGTATATAGTGTAAGAGATGTCAAACAACGAGACAGCGGAACAAACGGCAGGATCGTAACGGCTCGACATAATCAAAGCTAAGTGAGGTTTACTTTGTAAGTGATTATTTTAGTAAATATAAGGCACTTTTGAATTACGAATTATGAATATAAATGCAAAAGCGTTGCGATCACTGTTGTTGAGGGTGTCATCATCGTGGTGATGATGATCCGTGTAGCTTCTGTGTCAACTTTACCGCTGGAGAAGGTGATAGTAAGCGCGGCTTTAACAGAGAACTATCTCTGAACCTATATTAGTGAATTACCGCACGGAAATTGCTACAATATTCTACTATATGGTGTGCATTATATCGATTAAATAATTTTTTTAATACAAATTTATAATTTATCATATTTGCAAATGACTTATATATTAACTATAAATATATATATATATAAAATTAGAGTTTTTTCAATAATATGATAATTATAGATAATAAATGAAAGTTTTTTTTTTGAAATTCATTAATTATTTGTACGATTAAATAAAAAATCATTTATTAAATAAATAAAAATTGTTAGTAAACTATACTATATATATATATATATATATAGCATTTTATAATTATATTTTTAGCTTTCTCACAAAAAAATAATAATAAAAATAATAATAATTGATTTTAATGACAGTACACAAATGATAATAATTGTCACAAAAAAAATTATAATAATTAAAAGAAATTAAATTAAGAAAATAAATGAGAATAAAGAAAATATGGTTTTATTTGGTTTATAACTTATAAACATATATACAGTATTTATAATATTATACTATACTTTCATTTAATTTTTATACATAAGATATACCGGTATATACTGTATAAAAGGGAAAGGCGTCTAAAAATTATTCATTTATTTGCTTATGCTTTTAGATTCATATATATATATAAATTTATATAATATATATAAATATTGAATTTGAAAGACACACACACACACACATTGAAAGAGAGGGAGTGAGACATATATATATACATATGCTATATATTTATAAGATTATATAACCTAAAAACCATTGATTCAAAGGGCTGTTAGTTTTAGATTTATACAAAAAATAAGTTTTGCCAAAAAAAAAGTAAAGAGCAGATGTCTTTCCAATTGTATTTGATTTTTTAGGAAATCAAACAAACATATTATTTTTGATTTGTATATAATATATAATTCATATATAGATATTAAAAAATAATATAAGAAAAAAATCTAAATTTTGATAAAAACTTTAACCAAAAAACAAAACAAACTTTTGGGACATTTTGTATACCACTTGACAAAAAAATATATATATATAAATTAATTTATAATTTATTTTTTAGCAAACTATTTTAAAACTTTTACCATTGTATATATATATACACACACAAAATTATCAATCAATATATTCAAAAACAATATATCAATTTCTATTGTAATGTATTTTATTATTTTGTTGCCACACTTATTGATCTAATATATATATATTTATTATAATGGGATTACTTAAATCAATATCTAGTAGTAGTTGTAGTATTCTATGATACAATTTAGACAATATATGCCGTAATATTATAATTATTATAATTTTTGTCCGCAAATCTTGTTATATCTATATATATAATATACACACAAATTGTAGTACAGTATACTTGTATATTAAAATATACAGTAATTTATATGCAAACTAATCAATGTAATTTGGTAGCAAACACACACACACACACACACACAATACTGTCATTATAGAGGATTTTGTGCAACTTTTATACGATATTATTATTATTATTATAAAACAGTGACAATATATATATATATATATTCAATATATTATATATAAGAGATAATTTGTTTAGATCATCAAAAATAATAATAATAATAAAAAACAAAATAAATGGGAACAAACATAAGCCATAGGCTATATTATGTGACTGTTATATTATTAGTGTTTGCGGTTTCAAAAACAATTCCCACTTTTATTATTTAAATTATTATTATTATTATATAACGTTCAATATTCTAAGCATTTTAAATGTTAATATTAATTTATAATATATATATATATATATACATATATATATATATACAGAATTTATATCCAATTTATAGTATTAGTATAATTTATAAATATTGTTATTATTATTATTATTATTATTAAAACAAATAGTCCGTCTAAAAATTTATGATTAAAATCTTATGGGAATAAAAATGTTTCGCAAAATTTATTCGCAAACAATAATAATAATTATGTGTATAATTTATAGTGATTTTTAAAAGAAATTATTATTTTTAAAGAATTTATTGTAAATATCAAATTATATTAATACAGATATATTCACTATATTATAGTACTGTATATATAATATAAATGCAAAAATCAAAATTTATTAGAAAAATTTAAGTACAGCCCAGAGGGTAATCTATCAGATATTTATATACAGTATATATTGTATAATGTTATATACATTAGTTAAAGATATATATATATATATAAAATTGCGTGTATATTGAGATATACTAAAAAAGAGATATCTGTATGAGATTTTAGATCCTAATTCATTAAAATTACAAATGAATTGATTGAAAGCATAGAAAGAGAGAGAGAGAGAGAGAGAGAGAGAGAGAGAGAGAGAGAGAGAGAGAGAGAGAGAGAGATGGCTAGAGGATTGAGATGTGGGACTTATAATATGGGAAAACAGCGATTGAGTCCATTACCGGATCACGTTTTGAGAGAAAGAGAGAGAGAGAGAGAGAGACCATCAAAAAATCGCTACAATATAACTTGAAATGTATTTATATATAATATTATTTAATGATGAATCTATTGTATGGCCCACTAGGCTATGACTTTTTTTATATTTATACAAATATAATATTAAAGCAATGATAGAAAATACATTAAAGTTGACTTAAAATTGCAATAACTTATGAAAATAAGGCACTGATTCCCAATAAAAAAAATACTATACTTTATATATCATATATATATATATATATATATATATATAATTTATATATATCTATATCATTGACATCAATGCCATTAACTGTATTAGTTATGAAAACATTTATTTTTAGGAAAAAATACACTTTTATATATATCAATATCAAAATACCTTAATATATGGATAAGTGAAGTGCACTATAAGTACTTACCATATATTCTAGTAGTTTTGTACGCATATATATATAAAAAAATATAATGTATAAACTTATATACAGTATTAATAAACATATATATATATACTTTATATCAATATATCTATGCATAAACTTAAGTTAAGTAGTGAAATAAATTGATAGTATAGATATTTAGTATTTAGTTATATGTCAATGATATATACTATATATATATATATTTATATAAAAAAAATCATATGGCTTGTGTTTTACCTTAATATTTAAAGCTTGTGTATTAAAATATCATACTGTACTGTATCATCATATAAGTATGCATTTTTTATATCATATATACAGTATAGTATAGATTATTATATAAAAAAAAGCAAAGCTGATCCATATTTAGCGATATCTCCACACAAATAAACCCAACACACAAAAAATTAAGTAAATAAATACATGTAAATTGCAATATACAAAAATGTATCAATAGTTTTTATATATTGATGCACATAATATTGTATATCATATGATAGACATCAACATCAACATCAATGACAACAACAACTCAACGATAGGTATTATATTGTATAATATATGCACACTATATATACATGTATATATATATATATATCAATATACATTATATACTGTATATTAGAGGCACTCAAATCTCAACATATTGATCGGCAATATATATTTACAGTATATAATGTTTGTATATGTTTAATATGTATCCAATAAT